AGAGAGAGAGAGAAAGAGAGCTGTATAAAAGCTTGGTTATCATTAGGGAGGCATTCTCACTGTGACAATGATAAAACAGCCTCAGCAGATACTGCATCTATTGCTTATAGGAGCCAAATGAACCAATTTAAGGAAGCGTCACTATGACAAATTGTAGTATGGAAGGATACCTTACACAGCAGAGGCCCGGTCGTGGAAACAACGGCAATGTAACATTTTTCAGGGATGGTAAAATTGGTCTCATATTGTATGTAAACCTTCAAGAGAGTGCTTACTTTAATATTACATCCCCTTACAGGGCTTCATAATGAAACTAATGATAATATATGAACTCATGGGTGTTATTTTTACTCATTAGTACAACTGCTTTGTATTAATTTACAGCTGTTTCCAGTCTTAAGCACAGTGTTAGCCGTTCAGACTCAAGATTGATGGCTGACAGAAGACAGTGCCAGTGTAGGCAGCCACCCTGTCCGACAGGTCTAATGGCTACTTTGCTATGTTGAACTGGTTGTTTGTATTTTTAGACTACAATGGCTCAACCTGAGCTTCAAAGAACCAATATCACATATTTAATTTGGGTTTTATATTGTAAACATCGTCATTTTATACCGATTCATCAAATATGATTAGAGTCACTGATAATTAATTATAATAAATAGTCACAGCCCTAAACTGATTGAACAAAATCACTAATCAGCCCCACAACCCTTTTGTTACGTATGCGTCCTAATTGCAGACTCAAACCTTCCTATTAGGACTTCTGGTTCCTGAATAGAGGCTTCAAATCCTGCTGCTGACAACCATCTTCCAAAAGACGCTTCTCAGTTCTTTTATCTTTAACTGGATCTCACAGCTCTCATCAGTATTTCCCCCCATTAGTGCCGAGAGTGGCAGCATCAAACACAAGAGAACACCTACTAATCTGAGGCAAAAACCCACCTCTGAATTGAAATGAGCTCAGCGCGTTGCTCCATCAGAGCAGAGTACTTTTCACCTCTCCGGTCCTGGTACTGAACACTGAGCCAGATAAACCCAAACCAACCCTGCAGATACACAGCAGCATCCTGAAACTGTGTCTGCCACCAGTCTGCCTTCAGGAAGCTCTGACACACACACACCCTGGTCAGTCCACATACAACTACCACACACAAGGTCATCATTAATTATCAGCTGTGTGAGCCACAGACATATTGAAAGTGATGTCTCTCCAGTGACTCCTTGTTAAATAAGGTGTCATGTTAACACAGGTGATCAGTTGATCTAAAGCTGTCTCCCCTCTCTAACTACTGCCCTTCATGTCATTACACGATGGCTCTGTCTCTCCAGTCGGTTGTTGGAGCAAGCAACATATTCTCAACAGCTTATCAAACTGCAGGTTGAGCTACCGTCGAGGCAACAAGAAACAAGAAAAGGAGCTTTTTGCTGCATTGCACCTCCCCAAACGCGCCTAACTTTACCGGGAAGTGTTCCCACTGATGGGGTCGTGATGGTGGACGCACAGCCCCCATCCCACCCCCAAACACACAGGGAGGAAAAAGACACAAATAAGACATTACTACCTGGGAGACACAGGCGGCTGACTGTGCCATATGCCAGAGGAGACACGGTGGTGTCGGGTGTCCCGGAGTGTTACCGGGTAGCCCTGCGGAGCGGCGGTGTCTCACCTGGAGGCTGCGGACAGCGGCGGGGAGCCGGCAGGGCAGCACGGCCGGCGGGAGAGTCCAGGGACCGTAAGTGAGTGTGTCGGTGCGCCTCGGCACCGTCTGAAGGCGCAAATCCACAGCCAGGGTGTTCCCGACAGGAGGGGGCGTGGTGTGTGTGTGTGTGGTGTGTGTGTGTGTGTGTGTGTGTGTGTTCAGAGAGAGAGAGGATGAGAGAGAGAGCGAGAGAGAGGCATGCAATCCTCACAAATAGGCTTATTTCTCACAATGCGACAGTTGTTTCTGCACAAACTCAGACTCCTGTTGTTTCTTATGAAATGCACCAATTCAACTGGGTCATTAAGTGTAGTTCATCCGCTGCAGCGCTGCTGGGCTCGGAGCAGGTTCAGGGGAAACTCCTTATTGTCACTGGTGCTACATTGTATATTATGGATTTCCCCGCTAGGATCCTCTGGGAGGCTTTATTATTGTGGTTGAGGCCAGAGGAACAGCTCGGCTGCAGAGTGACAGTTTATTTACTGTATGCATGTGAAATAAATGGGTTGGGTATATTCTGTGAACATATGGGGGCAAACACATTATCACAGAGGACCTTGTTCCAGATCAGCCAGCTGCTTATTTACCTTCCCTGTATTCACTGTGGGCTCTTTCCCTTGCTTTTATTATTTATGCATTTTGGTTGTATATGTTGCTCTCTGTATTGTATGTTTCTGTGCTGCAGAACGTACCAGTCAGTGTAGAATAATAACGCCCTGTATAACACATCTTATCTCTGGTAACATTACATTTTTCCTGTTACACTGCATGCACATGTCCTTGTGTTTTAATTATATATTTTACATTTCTAACAGAATTACATATTCTGTCTGTGTGTGATATCTGTCCAGAGACTACAGCTAACTGCATTTACATATGTTATTACTATTAAATAAATAACCAAAACAATCTACTCATGTTTGTCACATTACATTACCGGAACTCAACCTTTACACTAAAGCACACATGATACCATTTCACAATGAGAAATAAAGAAAATTCATTCACATAGGCATAGCATTTTGTCAGAATATAAATAGTATTTCACTCAAATAGCCTACACATATTGTTATTTTATATTTCACATGTGAAATACAATTTGTCCTTTCTTTAAAGTAGTAACTAAATGCCAGTTTTCAGCTTTAATTGTCCAGTATATCAGGAACCATCGCAAGAGAATATAAAGACTAAATGAATGACTTGCTCTGTATTAACACTATTAGACAGTACATTTACTGTTTCCAAATATTAAGAGCATCCTTCTCGATCTTGTGATTACAGTGGAAGACCGAGCCCAGCCCATAATTAGAGTTTTAAACTGGATTTGTTTTTATAAACCTGTGAGTACATCTGCTCCAGGCTGCACTGAACCTTCAACCTGAGAAATAAAAGCAGATATTTACAGTATTCTTCAGATGTGTCGCGTTATACAGCAGTGAGACGCCCTCTAATGTTGATCCTGGTGTCATAATCTCTGAATTCAACCACAGTGAGCAGCTCATGATGAGTATATGTCCTCTCCTCTTTGTCTGGGAACAGCAGGGATTGGGAATCATTTAATAATATAATAAAAATGTTATCTGGAGTTTTTTTGGGGGTTGAACCGGACTTTACTTCACTTTACTTCACTTTACTTTACTACTTTACAACATTTAAACAGAAGTGATGTTGATTGAATTACGACGGAGGGCAGCAGTACGCCTTGTAGCGTGAAGCCTGCCGGGAATAGATTAGAAGAAGAAGAAGAGGAAGTAAATAGGAAGTAAA